TTCCCACTTGCCTAAATTGAACTTCCCACGCCCGCACATGACCAGATCCCGTGACCTGCGCCGTGGCTAACCTCCCCAACACTTAACTCCACCAAATCTCCACCGATTGGGACGATCTTGACATCGACGGATTCGTAGGAATTAGGAGTATTTTTAGGTACCAAGTTTGTATCGATTCATGAAATGAATGAAGATGATTCTTGCATGGTGAAAATGGATATCCGAGCCGGGTCTGCATGTGGGCAATTATCCCGCCTACAACGCCCCAGCCAGAGATAAGTTGAGTCCAGTACACGACCATGCTGAGCACAAGCTAGAAGAGCTAAGGCCTCCCAGCCTTAGCAACAAATTCATTCACGCAAAGTCGATCGCATGTTAGATATGCAAAGTTCTAAGCCGGTGTGGACGAAGTTAGTCATTGAACTCGCAGGTTAGCCATGGGAGTAGAAACGGGGCATACTATTGTGCCCAATCCTCCCATTCAACCATGGTTCTCCAGTGGGTGGCAGTGCACGCACGGTAGTGCAATGTTGAGTTCTGGCATAGGCTGGCATAGGTTGGCATTGATGTGGCAAGGTTGAGGTGAGGTTGGTTAGTGCTGAGTTGTTGGCAGAGTAGTCACATGGGCAAGGCAACTTCGTCACAGCCCATGTGTCCATGTGAAAGCTCTGGGTGAGTTACTCCCCCAGAATCTTCTCATGCCTTCACATCACATGTGATCTCCCTGGTCCGGATGAAATTCTGCGGTCACATGGCATTCAACACCATGTGGAGTGGGGACTTACCTTTCTTTGTGATGATTATCCTTTCTTTGGTGTTTCTTTTTGGGAGATTGCAAGGGACTGCAATCAAGAGCTAGGCCTGTATGTTGTGGGGACAAGTCCACGCAGGTCAAACCAACCCTTATCACACATTTCACCCCCTACTGCATCAGGGACTAGGATTGGTGAGTCGTGGTAATAGTAGGAGTTGTAGAGACTGTGGATGTGGTTCTGACGAGTCTAAGATCGTCGGATTTGGTGGAGTGGTTGAGGAGATATGACTTTTTCTTTATTTTCCTTACTATTTTCATTCATTCACGCATGTGACTTTCCTTTTATATTTGTATCGGACTCTTCCATGACAACTGTACATATAGTTAGTTAGAGGTTAGACAGAGTATCAGCACCGTACTCGCAGGACCCACACCCACCTGAGAGATAGAGAGAGACCTACCCCCCCAGACCTGGGTTGCGAGTCTAGATTGATAGACCCGTTACAGCGCCCCTGTATTCTTCGTCAAGAAGAAGGATGGGTCCCTGTGCCTGGTCCAGGATTACCAAAAGCTCAACAAGATAATGGTCAAGAACTTGTACCCCTCCCGCTGAAGGAGAGAACAAAGGAAGGTCAGTTGGGAGGTTCAGACGAGACCACCACCAAGCTGTTCCCTGGTTCTTTAGTTAGGATGGGGAAGTGTACTAGTAGTATTTATTGTAAATATAGTACCAATCCGAGTGTTTTGGCTAATTCTATTTTTATGGGTTAGTTTTAAAGTTCCTGGGAATTGACTTACAGATAAACCGAGCACTGCGGAGCTGTTTCTTTATTGAAATTTCTTAATTTGTCCAGGTGTAATTCTGTGTAGCGTTGTTTAATTTGGAATTTAACTTGAATTAAATCTTCTACTTGGTGAAGTTTCAAAGATTCTATTCAGTTAATGGATTTGGATTGTGTCTGGAGTGTCCCTTGAGTTTGTTTTATTTTTGTCTTATTTTATTGCTTGTTTTTAACAGTAGCAAGATAACTGTTTTGTGTTTACACTTTGAAATCTGGAGTGTTAACCAGCTCTCCTGTTGAAATATCTACTTAATATTTCTCTCCTTAATTGCTGCCTTTTACTACAGTGGCAATCTTAACTGTATATCACTTTTTTGCACTGGAGTGACAACCAGAAATGCTTGAGAAAAATAATACTCTATTTTCTTACTTCTCTAAGGGGGGCGAAAAGTCGCAGAAAGGGTCTCCCTTTTATACTCCTTGGGTCGCCTTCCTTTTTCACCTCTACCTTCTATTTACAGGATTTATTTACAGTGTATTTTTCTCAAACTGAATAAAAAATGAAATTTTCATGCTATAGTTCTACTGTGGTCAGACTGTGCCTAGAATCCTTATTGTCCTCCCTCGCCTAAGCTATTTTAATGGTTAATTAGAACTTGGCTGCGCTGCATTTGTCGCAGTTACCTATTTCAAATTCCTTTTAAATTTGCTATGACTCGGTGATTCTGAATTCAAACTTCGCATTACTATGCGTATGGCTGTGCTGAGACCTTCAGCTGATTTATTCCATTTTTATTTAGTGACATTTAGTTAAAATGAGACTGAAATGGTAAATGAGTGAATTATTCAGGTTCAAAACTGAAAGAAAAAGTTGCTAGTAGTCAAGAATTACTCAAACGAATGTGTTATAGCTCTCCACTTCATTAGAATATCGTTCCCTAAAATTCCCGCCATGGTCCATCGTAGTTTAGTGGTTTTCGTGAATTTCATTCATATTCCCTGATTCCCCTTTGTATTATCACATCCTAATCCTCCATATGTATTGTTCGTTGTTATAGTAGGTCGTCCTCGAAGATGTCATATTTTTATGTATTTTATTTAGGGCTCTGGACCTCTTGAAGCTGTCTTCCCGCGCGGTTTCAGGTTTCTAACTTCATGTCCTTGTATCTCATTCATTTCTGGATGTTTTCTCACGTTCTTGGTATCATAAATTTTCATTTATTCCCACCTTTCCAATGGTACTAAAGTTGTGTTCTATCTCCTGGTATCTGTTGAGCCAGCAAAAGTTCACGTGCACATTCGGTAATCATGTGCGTCGTTCCCATAGTCGTTCGTATGCGGGTGCTGTTTCCGTTTAATTGTTCAGGATTTATGATATGCGCAGGTGTTTATATCTTTCATATGGGCTTCTGTGATTTATTTCAGATTTTTCCCTCATAATCTAAGGTTGTTTTGCACTTTCCGTGATTTGTTTTGACCGGGCTCTTCCTTATTTGGACAGAAATTGGTCTTCATGATCTGCCGAAGTGCAGATCTCGGTTCCGACGGCCGGTTCCCTTCGCATCGCCACCCTCACGTGTCATTAAACATGATGCAGATTTCTGTCATATCCATACAATCCCGACCTCTGCTCCGGGTTCCCGGAACTCCGAAACTGATTCCGGAGCCCTACTTCCCTTCTGTTACCTTCTCCTTGCCGACTCCCAAGAGGTTATCCCACCTCCGGCTCGGACACCACCTTCAGTCCGACTCCGGAACATTCCGGGTCCGACCCCAACCTTGACACCTCCCAGACGAGTATGCAAAACCTATGCTCCCGACTCCGGACCTCCGCTCCGGAATCCCATTCACGTCTCCGTCTCCGGAACCTCCAGTCTTAGCTCCGACCTCGGACTTTGACCCCACCTCCGCTTATACCCATTGTATTGGTTAGCTCATTCCATTTAATTATGTTTGCTGATATTCCGGAGTTTAACTTTGTCAGGGACGGCTTGAGGAAGGCAGAGGTAGCGGCGTAACGCTCGGCGCTAGCGGCCCAGATGGTGGTGGGGTGGTGAGACTGTATAGTGGATAGCCCTTACTCGGGCTTACGTCCCTGTGTGGCTTCTTAGGCTGAAGCAGGAAATGTATTGTTATTAGGGTGGGAAGCCAGACTAAACTAGGGTACTTGCCTGAAGTGGGAAATGAGAAGAAGGTTACTTCTTCGGTCCTGCTTCGGCTTAGTTTATATACATGTGTGAATGGGTCACATGGGGTTGCCACATCACCCTCGGACGAAGCCGGGTTACCGCAGGTGGTTCCGCGGTCGATCCCGAGTGTTGGAGGGGAAGTACAAGTAGAAGTGCATGGCGCATCCGGCGTTGCGGTGCCCCTATGGGGTGCTCAGCATCGGACGCATCCGTGCTACAAGGGTAGGAAAGAAAGAGAGGTCGTCTGTATAAAGATAGAAAAAGAGAAGAAGGAAAGAAGAGAGAATGAGAGGATGAGACAAAAGGAAAAGGAGGTGGCGGCGGCGGTGGCAGTGGCAGCGTGCCCTGACAAACTTCCGAGTTCGGACTTTCCGGACTTATGTCGGACCTTGCAACTATTGCATTGCTCCATTCAATTCCGCTATACTCCCTCATTCCTATTTGGGCTGCTGCTTCCTTTCTATTCAGTCAGCTGGCCATTCCCCACTGGCCCTTCACTCCTCCTTTGGGAAACACCATTGAGTCAAACCCTTGACCCTCGGTGTTGTTCCACTTTCCAGCTCCCTTTGTCTCCTTTCGGAGTACCCTCGCTCCTTTTGCTTCCGGACCCCCCCTTATATACAACACCTATTACTCATCACGGGACTATAATAATATGTACCTATAGGGGGCCCACCTGACCTACTCTCTTAGATATAGAGACGCTCCTTGAGTGCATGCACCCGTGCACTGGTGCAACGATCAGTACATAATACTATATATACTACTCTCAGGCCCTTCGGGCCTGAGAAGCTCCGGGGTACTGTGACCTGAAAATCCGGAAAACCCCTCCATGCCGCAACTCCTTCGGAGTTCACCATCACACATCACCCCGCCAACGTCTCCGGACCCGTCGTCACCGTCATCGATGTCGTCGATGACATTGCCAACACTTATTTTTCAAAATCACTGTTCCCTTATAAACTTCACTAATACACAACTTCCCTCGCTTCCTTTCCTTTTCCTCCCATGTCACTCCACTGCCGCTACCAACATTTTCAACATTATCGGCATTGTTCGAATTTCCCTCAATTTTTTTTTTTCAAATATCAAAATGTGAATATATGTGATTGAGCAAGCTATGAAAACTGCCTGCGAAGCCGTAAGTTGCCTTATATGGATGAATGGGAACATCGTTGATGCTGTTCAGCGGTGCGACTCTAAGAACCACAACAAACACATGGTAGTGAGGAGTACCTGTCCATCCATCCACCATCCATCATTGCACAGGTGTTACTATCCCCCTGCCCTCTCGTTGCCGGGGAAGGTACTCTGTCGGCGAGATTTACGTGGCTTCGGGTCTGCCGGCGCTTTGCACTTCTTCCTCCTATCAGAACCATCAAATTACCTTTGCAAACTTCCAGAGAAACTTTCACTTACGAGTTAGTACCCCTACTGGAGCTGGAGCTGACTTCCGTGGTTGCCGCTGGCTCGGTCCCTGTGTGAGTGGCGCTGCTTGCTGGTGTGGCATTATCGGTGTTCAAACCACTGAAAAGTCTCTTTCGGTTAGTCTTCCGATAATACTTCTGATGCCACGAACCTTGGCCGTGCTGGTGATACGTTATCTCCCATACTCGTGCTGCTTTCACCTGCAGCCACACTGTTCCGTACGCTGCTGTTAGGGCTTGATAAGGCATCATCATGTTGTTCAACGGTGGAAGGGCATCCGGAGACGGCATCATGGTTGACGCACGTGGCTTGTGACTTGCTACGGTCGCCAGTCTGGGCTTGCGCTGCCTCAGATTCTAGAGTACTGAGCTCTGCTTTTTGCTGCTCAATCTCCTCTGCCGTCAGCTTAACCCATTTGATTTTCCCATCTTCCCATCCCTTGACAGCCTCTCGAAGATGATTGACCACGGCCCTTTTGGGCTCAACTATCTTACCCCCCGGATAGTGTGTCATGTCAATCTTGACACCATGTCGGATCGTGAGCTTTAGATAATTCCGAGGCACCCACTCCATTGGAAGCTGAGTTTTCCCAGTTACCTTGCCTAGTATTGCGCCCAGATCAATCCTCTGATGATGTTTGACAGGGCAACTACTCACGTAGTTCGGTTCTTGTCCATTCTGCCAACTGGAAACGCAATGAACCGGAGAGTGCTTTATGAACCTTCACAACATCTTCGATCGTTTCAGCATCAACAGTGTAAAGTATCCCGATTCTTGACTCACTGCTTGTAGCCCCGATGCAATATCCCTCCATAAGCCGGGCATGTAACCACAGGGGCTCTTTTGCTACACCCAGCCAATACTCCTTTGCCTTCTCTGACGCCCACATGACTGGTGCAAATAAATCATCGCTAGACCCTTTTGCCATCATAATCATGACTTGAATTCCACATGCCCGGTTCACATTCTCTGCCTACGCCTTGTTATTCTCTCTGGGGACTAATGCATCTTGTTGAACATACGATTTGGACGAGCTGGTCTCGGGCATGGATGGCCATGCGTTGTGCTGACAGTTCAGGTGAGATTATGTTTTCTTTTAGGGCCCGATTCTCCCTTTTGACGACAACACCTTCTAAGGCAACTCGTGCGTGATGTTCATCCATTGGAGTAAGTGGGTTCTTTATGTCATCAAACGTCACTTCTTCATTGTTGATGTCGTCAAGAAGCTCAAGGTACTCTTTGGAGTATGGGAGGTTTGGCAGCGCTTTCTCTGTTGTGCTTGGGAGGTTAGTGCATTTCTACATGGTTTTTATCCGTTAATGAAACCACGTACCTTGTTTACGATGTGCCTGCGCCTTTGCATGTGCCCAGGCATTAGGGAGCATTGGCTTCCGTACTTTTTTTGGTGCAGAAAACTTATAGACAACTTGCTTTCGTATCTGGTTTGCTGAATAGCGTGAACCGTGCCTAACAAATTCCTGCGCAATAGCATGGACTTGGGCATCAAAACTCTTCCTCAGCTCGAGAATCCGTTTGTTGAATGATGTCCGGACTAATTCTTTCCTCTGATTTTTTGACAGAGTAGCAGGTTCGACAAACGACTCTGTGCACTGCTGCTGGGACATCAAGAACCCCTGTGTGCGAAAATGTTGAGCGACGTGTTGGGAATTCAACCAGGGGCCAACCAATAAACAAATAAAGGTAAACAGTTTTTACCCTGTATTTGGAATATGGGAATAATCGTGCATTTATGCCAAATTCACAATAAATACAGGTGTGTGTGTTTTTTTTCTGTATTTTCTAGAAATTTACGGAGGGGGGGGGAACAGCAGAATCGTTTATCAATCACGCCCTGCAGCTGCCAGTTCGGCAAGGAAGGAAGCTTCTTCATACCCACAGTCAAACTCCATCATCAACATGTTGCGGAAGTTGGTAATGTTGGTGAATCCCAGTTGTGACTTAAGCGTGATGATCTCGATGTCCTCCGGCCACAGAGTTGTATGTACATTCACATATGACTCAAAGAGTGACTGACTTCCTACCTCTGTTGCAGCCATCATGCTATGAGTACTAGTCAAACTGCTCAACTGAGATGATGACAATTGCTGCACGTTTGCTTGAGTCAGAGGAAGGTGACGTTGGGTTGGTGCTAGATCGGTGCGTCTGTCTGGCAGTGAGATGTTCGAAACTGATTGCATGGATCCAGGAGCGGTGGTAGTCCCAGGGAAGTCGGTGCAAATGCTTGATCCACTTTGGGTTGCAGTAGGAGTGTTGAATTCCGTTAGGTCAAACGAAGTGGCGGACGGTGTGGCGGATGGTGTGGCAGGGGTAGTTTTGGCAGGGGTCACAGGTGCATGTGCTGGAGTAATGATGTCAACACCGATACCAGCATTGACTGCATCAAGCAATGGGGAACGCCCTGCAGTACCCAACCCGTGCTGCCGGATACTCGACGGACGGGGGGCAGTGGATCTTGTATTTCGAGGCAGAGACACTGTCAAAGGGTCGGGCAGTCTCCACTGGGGGGGGATGGGGCCCTCAGGGCAGTGTTCTGTGGGGTGGGGGGTGGTTCGCCCCAGCGTGGTTGTGGCTGCATGCGCTCCGCAGTTGGTGTGCTGCTCGGAGCTGCTGGAACTGGGGTTACTGGTGTGGCTGCGCCTTTGTTTGCTTTTGGTATCTTGTCTAATATTTCGCTGCGCAGTGCTCCCCACCCTTCATTGTCTTCAATGCTTTTCGAGGCAAGTAACATGATAGGTAATGTTTGACCACCATAATTGATCAACATGATGCTTGGCTGCCCCAAGCGGTCCAAGACATCTGTCTATTTCCACAGCACAAGGAGTTATTTATGTAATACCGATTCATCAGGTTGACGACTCACAAATGGGTGAACCTCATCAAGCCTTTCCCTTAACCCTGTCAGGGGGACAGCAAGGCGGCGCTGTACCATATAACTCATTTCCGTGGTAAATATATGGGTTGATATGTGCTCCTCGATGGTTTTTAGATCAATTCGCCCCCAATCGGGCTTCCAGTCTGAAGAAGCTATGTTTTTCCAGAATTTCACACTTTTTTTTGTGTACTTACTGCGAACTCGATAGGGAACACTGAAGTCCTCGACAAACCTGTCGCTCACTGACTGATGAAACCAGTTCATCTCTTCGGTTGTCAGCCTGTATCTCACATGAGAAGTCCAAACGAAACTGTCAAACACGCGTTGGGCTATGGGACGCGTGTGTTGCAACATGGTTTCTAGAATTGTGGTAAGTTTTGTTGTCTGTCTGTGTCCGCTTGCATATTTACCTTCAGTTTTGGTCTGGGGCATGATGCTGAAGCGTTGGATTTTCAATGACACGATGGATTTTCAGTGACAGCGCTTGAACATGCCAGATTGAATTGCCGCACAAAAAGAAACTGTATAGAATGAATTGAAACTGTATGGCGTGTTGGACGCGCTCTTCAATAGCTCAGTTCAATCTCTTGGTACAACGTCGCCACATTCTGTGAGTGCTGTTTCTCTACTCATGGGCTACATTTTTTTACAGTACTAGAATCTTTATCCTGATGCCACGATCAAAACGAGCGCGAAATGCTGTTGTGACTAACTTGCTAGGTCCAGGGTTGGAAAGGAATGGATTGGTTGCCCGGAAGAGGGTACGACTCAAGATGGAAGCAACCCAGCGAAGAGTCCTTGAAGGTGCGTGGAAAGCGTGTAGCACACTGAACCCACCAGCAAACATGAATTCGACAAACTAGACACATCGGCCGAAGTTAGAGCTGACCTTGAAGAACTTCAAAACAATGGCTTTGCCCTTGATACCGATAATGCGGATGACTGGGTGGATGACCCCGCGATGGCAGATGCTGGGCTGTTCCAAGATGAAGGGCTTACCAGCAAACAATTCTTGACGGTAATGTCCTCCCTGTTCCCAAAACAGTACGTATTTCTTGACGACTTCTCAGTTCTTATTCATCTAGGACTGATCTCATGTTTTATTTTTAGGCGCAAGAAAAGTCACATTTGGGGCCACCGCATGGCCAGGCTCCACGCAGCTTGGGCAGAGCAGCTGAACGACCTCATTGCCCTATACCTTGAATTCAAAACTACCAACCCTTCTTCTACACCATCTCACTATCCCCTGCCCCAAGACAACCTCAATTACGTTTACATCAAGTGCCTTGACATATTTGGTAAGCCTTTCCTTTCACCTCCCTGTACGTGATTAACCAATATTCAGATGGTAGTTCATTTGAATACATACCCAGGCAGGAGACAGACATCCATCTTACATACGCGCTGGTGCGTGCCGGCTATCTATCCCCTACTCCAACAGAGCCCCAAATTGCGATCTCCCTGCGATCGCTCGAACTGTTATACTCTCTTTTCCGAGCAGCGCCCGCTTTCAGTATTCAACATTTTACCTGGGTGGTTTCTGACATACACAAGGTAAGCTATTTATGGTGTTTTTCCAGCATCTGCAGCTGACTGCAAATTGAGATGGTATATCAGCCCTACTTAAGAACCCAAATCTCAGTTGCTTTCGATATCTTCTATCGGATATTCTTCCACCTGGATAAACTCGTCAAACAAGCTGTAGGTCAGGTGGGGCCCAATTATCGTCTCAAAAATTCCTGCCCTGCTTGTCACTGTAAGGTAAGTATCCGATTTTGATCTAGCAAAGGGTAAGCCCAAGTTGCATCATCATTTTTAGGTTGAAGATGAGCCCGAACGCCCCATTCAGCTCATTGTCACAGCTGATGGGAATACCTCCCTCTCAAGGCTGCGCCACAATTTTGCCACCGACGCCCGAGTCTTTCCCAGTGACTACTTCATTCCCTGAGAACAGGTCAATAATTTTGCTGACACTCGAAAACATTCACAACGTGGTAGCCAGGTATGAACATTCCTCTTCCTTAGTTCACTCAGTAATATGTGCGACTTGTGAGATGGATGGCCCAGAGTCGTCATTTATATCTGACAGCTGCCTAGCATGGAAGAATGCTCGGCCAATGCCCTTGAAGTCGAAGTCGGGTGCCATGCAACTCATGGATGAGACAGGACTTTTCTCTGTCGTTTGCCGACATGGTATCGTCCAATTCCTTATCGACATGGTCCAGAGTGGGGAGTTGTGAGTAATGTGATGTACTTTGTTGATGAGAATTGACGTACCTAGCAGAGCCAAATATCCAATCGCTGCCGCTGATCAACTCATATGGACGTTCGGCCACAACATTCTATTTGCATACGATATTGGCTGCACATTTTCAGCTACCCTTTCCAAGTCTTCCATTGGTGATATGGCACGAGAAGCAAAATTTAGGTGTTGTACTGGTTCTTTCCACGGTGCCGCTCACAACAGACTCTGCCAGCTCGATTTCCTCATAGGGCTACAGCAGGGAGCTGGAATTGAAGATGGCGAAGGCAATGAATGAGTATATTCTGAGAGCAACTCCCTCGCACTGGTAACCCGACATGCGTCACCATACTATCGGCATCTCCGGATTCATATGCATTTTGTGAAGTGGGATGAAACAAAGTATGAGCGTCTAGGTATGTCATCCATTCAATAAATATGCCAAACACTTCCTTACCCCTCACGAGTAGGTGACTTCTTATTGAACAACCACACAACGGCATGGAGAATAGTTCAAGAAAGCCTAGAAATCCTCGAGACAACAAGGCAGATGGACCCCAACTTTGAACCTGATGTGCAATGCCCACAATGGCTGGATGAAGAGCACAACTACATATCCTCACTTCAGTTTGAGCCCCAAGATGAAAAGGCGAAGGTCGTGTATTTAGAGGCCACAGAGCATCTTGAGCGTGCAGAGTGGGTATAATTCTAGTTCATAAACATAAACATTCACAAATTACCTTCAGGGAAACCGTACGCTACTGGATAGCGCAAATAGCTGTCCAGGCTAGGCTACCACCCCAACATGCTGACCGACATTTGCGAGAGGCAAACGAAGCTGTTGAGAGCACACGCGCCGCTCTGGCAACGTTGGGGTTAGCTCTACCGGCCATGTCTCGTACACGACCTTGGGTGCCTGGTTCTCCTGAGCGGCTTGAAGCAATCGCTCTGCGCCAGCAGAGGGATTATAATCACCTCCTTGATGATCTCGAGCATCGTGCAATATCGCGTCAGTTTGGAAGTTGAGAAGATGGGACTTCCAAGGACAGGTGTGTGACAGCCGACTTCTTTCCCTGCCCCATTCAGAGTACAATTTTTATTCCAGATTACAAGGCTCACCAGCAAATCCTATCTTTAGTGGCGAAGCGGGGCAAGACACTTAACTCGACACTAGAGAAATACAACAATCTTGCGTCCACCATGGATCCCCGAAGCCGAGACTCAGTTGGGAGGATGTAACCAGCCTCGAGTTCATATCAGATATCGTGATTTTACGGGGCCGTGACGATGTACGTGAGAAACCATGGGCAAAGCCCCTTCTCCGCAAGGCCACCCGAGCTTGGCATAAGCTTCAACGAGCCCGTGAAGAAATTGACACTGTCAGACTTGAAGCTCATCAGGTATGGACCTCGATGGAAAATGAGGAGGCTTGGCTGCGAGGTGCCATTGAGAACACTCGATCGACCAATCCCGCTCTGGCAAGATATATTTCCGCTACTTCCCAATACCGCCTCAACGTCAATGCACACCTACGTTCCAAACTCGCCCAGCTGGATAAGCTCGCACATTTTTTAACTGGTGACGGGGAAGGGACGACGAGCGGACCACCAGCGAGCCCTGACACTTGTGGCAGCCCAGAAAACACGAATAGCAACCCACCAAACAGTAAGTGTATCCATTAGGGCATTTGTAATGGTTCTGACCATTCTATTAGTACCACCCAATGAAACCCCCTCCACGACACTGCCCAGCTCAACCACCAATCTCATACCCTCTGATGATATCGATGGTGGGATGGCGGATGGGGGGCTGGAAACTGAGAATGAGGAGGTTGAGGAGTCTCATCGCCTGATCGGTCGAATCGCCAGTGCTTTGGAGAGCCTTGATTTAAACTTTGTCTGAAGGACTTTATTATGCCATGTATTTACATAGTACCTAGTTCGGAAAATGGCAAGGACGGCAAAGACGAAGCCAATGCCGACGAAATGAAAAGGAAAGGAAGCGAGGGAAGTTGTGTATTAGTGAAGTTTATAAGGGAACAGTGATTTTGAAAAATAAGTGTTGGCAATGTCATCGACGACATCGATGACGGTGACGACGGGTCCGGAGACGTTGGCAGGGTGATGTGTGACGGTGAACTCCGAAGGAGTTGTGGCATGGAGGGGTTTTCCGGATTTTCAGGTCACGGTACCCCGGAGCTTCTCAGGCCCGAAGGGCCTGAGAGTAGTATATATAGTATTATGTACTGATCGTTGCACCAGTGCACAGGTGCGTGCACTCAAGGAGCGTCTCTATATCTAAGAGAGTAGGTAAGGTGGGCCCCCTATAGGTACATATTATTATAGTCCCGTGATGAGTAATAGGTGATATACAATGTACATAGTAACTTGTAACCTCAGTCCGAAATCGACCTGAATTCCCCCAAGAGACTTTCCCTCTGCTAGATCCGAAATTAGGGACCCCCAGGACAACCAGCAATGGCACAGCGCTCCGCTTGAGTCGCTGAGGCCGAGGTCCTTCCACGCTAAGTCTCCGATTCCACTCCAGAGTCGTCTGAATCCGCATGTTCTAACAATGTCTATATTCCCATCATGGGTATAACTTCACAACGGCTGGACCGTTTGGGCTGAAAATTTGCATAACTATAGTTCCCCATTTTTTATAATTTCCGTGTAAATTTAGTTGTATGTTTTAATTATGGATCCTACGCAAACATCGTCTTTTCCCTGAGCTCAGACTTTTGATGTCGCTATTCCCGTTATTGGATATCTCATTAATGCATGATCCTTTTATTATGAAAATTTGGGAGGATTAAGATTAGGTCCCTTCCTTTCTAATGGGCTATCAAGCTTGTCTCGGTCGTTACTGGTTAGTCTTTGTGCTTGCTTTTTAGACGTTGTCCTCGTTTTGCAGGAGTTTTAGTCATATCTCCATTGTTTATGGGTAGTTTCCCCTGTAATTACTTTCATTGGGTCCGTTTGGGAGACATCTACGTTTCCTACTATAGACACGACTTTGAATTTTGCTTTAGTTCCTGAGGAATCCTTGTTCTGTGGTGCTTCCATCCTTGGCTATGTGTGCGGACATGGGAAAGTAGCTTCCGTGGAGGTTCTCTGATTGTTTTTATAGTCAAATCTTGGTCGATTGTCCTAATTCTTTGTTTAATATTTGCTATAAACTTCCCCGAGAATTCCGTCTCGTTGATACTAAGCTTGAAATATTTTTGCTAATTTTCTTTCTTTCGATTTATTGCATATAGTCATAATAATTCGTAAAAATTCGTAAAAATTCGTAAGAATTCATTAAAATTCAGGTCCTTCTATTTTCTCATATCTACTTGTCGTATGAGGTTTTGTGATTTATCTGGCATATTTCCATAATGGGTTTCCATAGTGTGACCGTTATTTCTCCTACACTGCTCATTTCTGACGTCCTCGCATGCCTTCGCAATGCAAAGTACTTCTCAGCACTAGATCTGCGCTGGGGGTTCAACAACGTACGGATCAAAGATGGTGACGAGTGGAAAGCGGCGTTTGCGACCAACTGGGGCCTGTTTGAACCCACAGTGATGTTCTTTGGGCTATGCAACTCCCCAGCAACCTTCCAGACCATGATGAATGACATCCTCTGGAACTTCATTGACCGAGAGGTCATTATCTGCTACATGGACGACATCCTGATCTTCACATCCACCCTAGAGGAGCATCGGAAGGTCATGCGGGAAGTGCTGGAGACGTTGCAAAGGAGGAAGCTCTTCCTCAAACCAGAAAAGTGCAAGTTTGAGCGGCGCTGCATCGAATACCTCGGACTTGTCATCTCCAAGGGTAGTGTTGCCATGGACCCAGTGAAAGTCCAAGGGGTCCTTGACTGGCCGATGCCAATGAAGGTGAAAGAGGTACAATCCTTCCTGGGCTTCGTAAACTTTTACCGTTGCTTCATCAAGGACTTCTCCAAGATGGCATGGCCACTCCACGCCCTGACCCACAAAGCAAAGGCCTGGACATGGGGGGAAAATGAAGAGCGTGCCTTCAACACCCTCAAGGTCGCCGTTACCTCCACCCCCATCCTTGCCTTTCCCGCTGACTCCGGCCACGATAAACTCGAATGCGATGCCTCCAACTTTGCCACCAGCGCCGTTCTGTCCCAGCTCCAAACTGACAGCGAGTTCCACCCTATCGCCTTCATGTCCAAGAGCTTCACTGAAGTAGAACGCACCTACGAAATCTATGACAAAGAAATGCTCGTGATAGTCCGAGCACTAGAAGAGTGGCATCATTTCGTAGAAGGGGCTGAGGAGAAGGTCAATATCTACACGGACCACCGCAACCTAGGCTACTTCCGCACCGTGCAAAGGCTGAATCACCGCCAAGCGCGGTGGTCACTGTTCCTGTCCTGCTTCCACTTCACCCTCATCCACTGACCAGGGAAACTCATGGGGAAGCCGGATGCCCTCTCCCGCTGCGCCGACCACCTGAAGGGAAGGGATGACAACCACAGCCTGACCCTCCTACAGCCAGAATGGTTTGAAGCCTGCACGACCGAGGCCATCACAGTGGAGGGAGAAGAGGCAGCCATCCTGGAAAGAATATGTGCGGCGAAGGACTGTGATGAGAAGGTAGTGAAAGCGCTGAAGGAGCTGGGAGATGGAACCCTCAGGATGGATGAATGGAGCAGAGATGGAGAGCTGGTCCTCTACCAGGGAAAGGTGTATGTCCCGAAGGACCTGCAACTCTGCCACGACCTGGTGCAGCTACACCACGATGCATGGGTGACAGGACACCCAGGGCGATGGAAAACCCTGGAGCTCGTCTCCTGCGATTACTGGTGGCCCCGGATGGCAGAGTATGTAGGCCGTTACGTAGCAGGGTGCGATGCCTGCAATCAAGTCAAGTCATTCCCCTCGCGGAAGGTGGGGAAGCTCATGCCAAACAATATCCTCACCCGCCGCTGGCAGGTAATCTCTGTGGATATGATCAGAGAGCTCCCTGAGTCTAAGGGCTACAATGCCATCCTAGTGGTGGTGGACTGCCTCTCTAAGTGCATCCATGCAATCCCTACAGTCACAGTGGTAGACTTGGCCGGGATCGCCTGACTCTTCCTCGAACATGTCTGGAAGCATCACGGGCTCCCCAAAGAGATTCTCAGCGACAGAGGGAGCGCCTTCGTCTCTCAGTTCTCCAAAGAGCTAGCGGCCCTGCTAGCGGTCAAGCTGACCCCCTTGGTGCCCTACCACCTGCAGACGGACGGACAGATGGAGCGAGTGAACCAGGAGATAGAAGCCTACCTCCGAGTGTTCGTTAACCACCGCCAGGATGATTGGGCAGACTGGCTCCCGCTAGCGGAGTTCTCCCATAATAACTGCATCCATGCCTCGACCTGCTGCACCCCCTTTGAGCTTGACACAGGCCAACACCCCAGGATGGGGACGGAACCCACATGCATATCAGAAGTTGAAGCCGCAGACGCATTCACCTCGAGACTGATGAAAATGCAGGAAGAGGCAAAGGCAGCGCTAGAGCATGCGGCGGAAGAGATGGCCCGCTACTATGACCAACACCGAGAAGTAGCACCTGAGTACAAAGAAGGCGATCAAGTCTGGCTCAGCACCCAAAACTACACCACAGACCGCCCTACCAAGAAGCTAGACCACAAATGGACCGGCCTCTTCAAAATCCTTAAGGTCATATCCCCCACCGCCATCAAACTCCAGCTCACAGCGTGACAGAGGGGAGTCCACCCAGTGGTATCGGTGACAAACGTCCGGCCCTACCGTCCAGATGGGATCGCCAAATGACCTGCTGACCCCCACCCAGGCCCCGAAATCGTAGATGGAGGGGAAGAGTACAAAGTCAAGAAGGTCCTCAACTCCTGCTGGTGCCACAGAAAGCTCTGGTATCTGGTGAAGTTCACGGGCTGGCCAAACTCCGAAAATGAGTGGCTCCCTTGCGACAACCTGGCCAACGCACACGACCGGATCGAGGAGTTTGTCAGGGACGCATCCGGGGTAGAGGGGGCCCGGCTGTAGCACCCGGCAGAGGGACCCTCTCGGGGGACGAAGTGGGCATGCATACTGATGGGCCCGATCTGGGACTGTAGTCCCTGGCCACTTAGACTGAAGTGGAAAATGCGAATTGTTATTAAAAGGAAGAACTACACTACTTATCTGAAGTGGAAAACATGAGAAGAAGGTTACTTCTTCAGTTCCCACTTCAGGTACATTTATGTACATGCGGCTTGGGTCACATGACGAGTGCCACGTCATCTATGGAGAGAGCCGCAGCCATCCAGGTATCCCTGTGGGGGATCCCGAGGGCATCTGCTGCAGGTGTGCGTGCTGGGCATAGCGGGAAGTCGTCCGGGGTGTCCGAGCCGGACAGGTCAATGGTACAGTGATACAAGGGAAGGTGGTCCGTGTAAATAGAAAGAATAAACAGAAAGGGAGAATGAAATAAAGGAGAAAGAGAAAAGAGAGAAAAGGGAGGAAAGGGAGGAAGGAGGGAGGAGGAAGGTGTCAGGGCACACCCACCTGACCTGGCTCCACCCGGCCCAACCTGACCCGGTACCCCGCTGGTCCACCCTTCCTTACCTCCTCCCCCTTTCCCTTCTTTCCCCCTCATCCTTCCCTCCTCAGTTTCTCCTTATCTTACTTCTTCTTTATTCTCTCTTTATTCTACATGGACAACTTTCTCTATATCAATGTACCATTGACCCATCTGCAGCGTGCCCACCATGTACCCGGCCCGGGCACCTCGGGCGACTTCCCGCTGTGCCCAGCACGCGTGCCTGCACCGGATGCCCTCGGGATCTCCCACGGAGATACCCGGGTGGTTACGGCTGTGTGCGAGGGTGATGTGGCACCCGTCATGTGATCCAAGCCGCATGTATATAAACGAACCTGAAGT